GTGCATGGCTAATAAAATCACGTCACAATACCCCGAGCGACAGAGAAAAAAAAACGGCGCAGTAACACGGGAAATATTCCCCCCCTCCCGTGTTATTCATGTGTTATTGTGTGTTATTCATTTGTTATTGTGTCCTGGAAATATTCCTGATATTATAATAACACAATAACACATCAATAACATATGAATAACACATGAATAACACACAATAACAAATGAATAACACGGGGGAGAATATTCCCCCGTGTTACTGCGCCGTTTTTTTCTCTATCGAGAATATTCCCGTGTTATTCAGGTGTTATTGTGTGTTATTCATGTGTTATTGTGTCCTGAGAACATTCTTGGAGTTATAATAATACAATAACACATTAATAACACATGAATACCACACAATAACACCTGAATAACACGCAATAACACATGAATAACACAGGGGGAATATTCCTCGTGTTACTGCGCCGTTTTTTTCTCTATCGCACGGGGTGTCGTGGCGTGATTTCATTGGCTATACACGTTAATTCTACGTGCGTAGTACTGATGTAATATTTTTTTTTCCTGGTACGTTGTTTAAGATAAAATTGGTAAGAATTTAAACCTAGGAGCAGAGTTACTTTTTTTTTTTTTTCTTTCCTGCATCCATCTAGTCTTAAATCTGAAATCTGTGTTCTGAAAATTGATGAGTTTTTGACGTCGATTGAGTTAGAGTATTGGGATGGTGAAAAGATGGGAGAGTTTGGTCTAGTGATAACATTTGAGTTTTGATGATTAGATAATGTTGATTAGATGATAATGTTTGAGAGGCAATGACCTCATAATGACAATAGAAAATAGGTGGCTGGTGATGATTGAATGATGATAATGAAATAGAAGTGATTAGATGATGGTAAGTAGGTGATTATTATTGAATCACCTTTGATCTCCTTAGGTTTATTTAATCATCAGGACATTCAGTTTGATTACAAATATGTTAAAATTGAAATTAGATGATTTTGATTTGACTCTAAAAATTATTCTATGTAAAATATATTGTGATTTGTGTTTGAACAAGCAAAATTTTTAATGACATTGAGGATGTGATTTATGCAAAAAAAATTGCTAGCACTTTTATCATATAACAAAATGCAATTAAAGACTCGGATATTTTTTTATCCAATAATGCCAATGACTCTTTTGAAATCATAGTAGCTCATCATTGTCTATGTACAAAGCATGTTGGCATAAAAAATATCATTAAATGGTCTTTCAAAGTTAAAAATGTATTCAAACTTGTTGGATCCAAATCTATCCGGCAGATTGTGACTAAGGGGTAGAGCATTGAGATGGAGGAAAGGAGATTAAGAGGAGAAGAGAAAGAAAGAGATGATGAGAAGAGGACTTACACTCCCAGGGCAAATGAGATGTTCTCGGGCTCGTGGGCCCATGTTATTCCATAAAAAATACATGTTACAAGTGGGGAGATCCAAAAGCTGCCAATACATGTCATAGCACCCTTATTTATAGAAGATAGGAGGAATAAATTACAAAATTATATTATTAGTTGTGCTTTAAAGAGATGAGAAAATGAAATTTTAGTCCCCTTATCTTGGATCGTCAGATTGCCTCAAGATCCATGCAACCCATTTTTTAGTGTACACATAAAGTTCCTCTATTTTCTTATTTTTTGATAGCGACAACTACAATAGTGAAAAGAAAATATATAAAAAAATAAACAAAAGCACACAAACTAATAATGATACTTCCTATTAGATGCCCTTTGCGCTCAGTTCCGATATCTTTTGTGACATATGTTGGTAATCAATTAGTCTTTGAATGATCCTAAGATGATTTGCCAATTATCCCTCACAGAGTTTGTCGTTGTCGGATGGCGATCATCTCAACGGTCGATGAAGATCGTTGAATACCCCTCGCGAAGCTTATCGCTATCAGGTGGTGAGTCATCTAAAAGTCGAAGATGATCGCCATATACACATCATGGAGCTTGTCGTTAGATGGTGGCAAATCATATCAAAGGTCAAAGACGATCGTCGTATACCCATCGTAGAACTTATAGTTGCCGGATGGCGAGAAATGTCAAAAGTTAACGAAGATGTTCGTATATCCCTAGCGGATCGAGTTTGTCGCTATCCATCTCAAGGGTCAAAGAGGATCGTTGTATACCACACGCCGAGCTTATCCGTGTCGGATGGCAAGTCATCTCAAAAGTCAAAAAAGATTGTCGTATACCCCTTGCGGAGCATGTCGTTACCAATTGACGAATCATCTCAATGGTCAGAGACGGTCATCATATGCCCCTCATGAAACTTGTCGCTAGTGAGTGACAAGACTTTTCAAAGGTTAAAGACAATCGCCAGATAATCCTCATTGAGTTTGTTGTTGGTGGGTCATCTCAAAGGTCGAAGACAATCACCGTAGACCCCTCACGGAGCTTGTTGTTGTTGGCCAGCGAATCATCTCAAAGGTTGAAGATGATCACCGTATACTCTTCCCGGAGCTTGCCACTGTCAATAGTGAATCATCTCAATAGTCAAAGACCATCGCTGTATACCCCTCACGGAGCTTTTTGCTTCCAGGTGGCAAATTATCTCAAAGGTTGAAGACGATCGCCATATTCCCCTCACGCAGTTTGTCGCTGTCAAGTGGTGAATCATGTCAAGGGTCGAAGAAAATTGCCGTGTAACCCCATTGTGCTTGTCGCTGTCGGTGGCGAATCATCTCTAGGGCATAGGAGCCGAGTTCCTTACTTTTCACTTACGTTGGCCCTAGTAGCTAAGATTAGGCCTCCACCTTAGATTGGAACTCCTCTGTATGGGAGGATGCTGCCTAGGCTCTCTTTTGAGATGTGTTTACTGTACCCTTTGCAAAGCTTGTTGCTACTGGGCAGGGAGCCAATCTCCGAAAATTTGTCCACTCAAAGCTGCGAGAATTGAACTCGAGATGACAAAAGTTTCCTGGCTGACCCTTGTTACTGATCGGATGTCTATGATGTCATTATCAATTTTGTTATCCAGGTTCGAGTTCTGCGAGGGCCGTGTGGCCATCTAAATACTAGAACTTTTTAAGTGCGCCAAGTCTTGACCTAACCTCACACATAAAAATACAAAATATTAATATATACATGTATCATAGAATAAGTTTGAAGAAGGAAAATAAAATGATTGTGCACTAGAAAAAAACAACCACCTATATAGGGTTGAAGACCACTTATAAATATAGTTAATAAACGAGTTATTTTAAACCTTTATACTTTAAGGAGAGAAGGAAGGGCTCCTTGTGTAGTTATGTTTTTTCAATACGGAATAAAGTAAATTTTTATTGGCTTACATTAAATTGGATATTGAAAATAGAATTCTGTAAATGATTTTAAATTTTTGTAGAAAACAAAATTCAGCAAATGATTTTAAATTTTTGCACTTAACAGTAATTAATGTATTTATTTAAAATATTAGATGTAATAGAATTATGCGGAAACACATAAAGTTTATAAAATATTCCAAAATCAGAATGTTATACATGTAAATCATCCCTGTTTTTTGAGGGGACGATTGGGAGCAGCAAGGTGGCCGAACGGCGAGGCCAACAGACAGTAAAGCAGTCGGCCGAAAATTAAAACAACAAAGTTTAGGAGTTGGAAATTTAAAGACAAAAGGCTTGCACCAAAAAAAAAAAATTGTATATATATTTAGGTATTTATTAATGTATTAGAATTGAGCGGTATACATGTAAATATTAAGTAAATAATTGAGTGTTATGTATGTCGGCCAGAGGTTGACGACCAGACAAAAGGGACAAAATACATGTCATAAGTGGGGGGATTCAAAAGCTCCCAATACATGTCATAGCCCTCATATGTATAGAAGATAAAAGGGACAAAATACAAAATTATATTATTAGTCTTGCTTGAAAGAGAGGATCAAAGAACATTCCAGTCCCCTTACCTTGAAGTGTCATATTGTCTTGTGAGATCCATGTAGAAAATTTTTGAGAGTATAAAAGTACCATTTTATTGATTATATCTTTGACAATCATTTAAATATTAATAGAATAAATAACTGTTAAAAATATGACAAATATGACAAAATTCAACACGAGGTTATTGTCCTAATGCCCATGAGAATATCTCCTATAAACACATACATCTAAGAAGACATGTCAAGCGGTCAGGTGCTAAGTTGATCAGCCGTGTTGACCTGCCAAGCTACTAAGTATTGAGTTCTAAACTCTAAGAACACACATTTTACTCAACTATATGGAGTGACATGACATAAAGACGTGAGATGCGGCATAGCCTTTTGGACATTTACATATTTTTTAAAAATTTTTATTTAACTATTGTCAAATTTTGTAGCAGCCCAAAAGGACACACTCAGATTTATATAAATAGAGGAGGAGAGGGAGGAAGAAGAGGGATCTAAAGCATTCCATCTCAATCTATATATCCCAATTTATCTTCTGCATTGCTCTATCAGGATTTTTTCCTAGGTGCATTGTGTGAATCTATGAATCTTATGTGCATGGTGTGAATCTATGAACATTTGGAGCCCGCGAACACACGTAGCCGCACACGCATATACACACACACAAAAATAAAATAAATATATACTTAAATACACACATACATGCATTCTTATAACAATTTATTTGCTGCAAAAAGATAAAACTAGCATAAAAGTATTAGTTAGTACTTGTTTGATATGATATAACTAAAATAGATGTATATAGTAGGCATCCAAATCATTTCTATAAATTGTATTTATAAAAACGCTATAATTTATCGTTAATTTGACTGTATTTAATTCACGTTTGAATTAACCTCAACCCACTTAAATTTCAGAGCAACCATCTATTTAAAATTCGCTTCAATCCATTAATTACCGATCCAATCTGGTCAAAGAAGTAAAGCTTATTTTAACAATTTCATAAATAACGTCTACATCTCGGGCACTTCCCCATAAATATTAACCCATCACCATTCTTACAAATCCCCTAGTTATAAATGAAAATCCCTAATCAGTAATCAGCAGTGCATATATCCTCGGCAAATACCATGGCCGGCTCGGGATCTCCGTGCGGCGCATGCAAATTTCTCCGAAGAAAGTGCACCGCAGACTGCATCTTCGCACCGCATTTCTGCGCGGAGACCGGCTCGTCCGGCGCCTTTGCGGCAATCCATAGAATCTTTGGGGCGAGCAATACGTCTAAGCTTCTGCAACATGTTCCCGCTGGCCTACGGGGCGAGGCGGCTCTAACGATTGCTTATGAAGCACAGGCGAGGCTGAGCGACCCTGTGTATGGCTGCGTTGCCCATATAGTTGCTCTTCAAAAGCAGGTTAGCTATTGTGAGCTTCAGTACTGATGCTTTTAGTTATAGGAGTTATGAAACGACATGAGCAAAATCATTAACTTTCTGGAGGTTTTTGATAACATTGTTAAAATAGGATTTAGGTATGAATTTAATCCAATGCTTTCTTAAACCGAAATTTGGCACATTTTTATCTACGATGCCGCTGATGGATTAATAAAATTTATGAAACAACGACAATAGACACAAGGACTTGACAAAGTGATAAAATTCTCTCAAAAGTATATATTGGCAGAAGATAAAAAATGTAGCTGATTGTCACGGATAAATAGTCCCACATCGGCTAGGTGTAGCACCAAAAATTAGTATTTAATTCTTGGGCTGTCCACCTCTTTTAAGGGCTCTTTTGGGAGGTCACAAGTGATATCAGAGCAGATTATTGCCTATCAGGTGTATGGACTCTCCATGGTTTAGTGAGACATTTGGTGGAGCTGATCTGTGACGAGGGCGTACATGATTGGGTGGAGGAGAATGTCAGGATAAATAGTCTCACATCGGCTAGGTGCAGGGCCGAAAAATAATATTTAAGTCCTCGGTTGCCCACATTTCTTAAGGGCTCTTTTGGAAGGTGACATGATGCTTCTATTAATTTATATGAAGACATTTATCCAAATTATATAATCACAGCCAAATAGGCATGTGGTAGTGTAGTTTGAAAGTGAGACATTACTGCCTCAAACAAATCCTTGATCTCCAATCAAACAACTAGCAACATTGACAAGTTTTGAAGAAAATTTAAGGTACGTTTAGGATGATTATAACTAACTAATAATTATTTATAAATTTTTTAAAAAGAGATTTTTTTTTTTTGAAGTCATATTGAGTAGTTTAATTTTTTTCTCATTTAAGAAAATTATTAATAATTTTCTTATAACTATCATGTTTAAGCAACTTTGATTATGAAAAGCTCTTTTATCAGTAGATTTTAAGAAAAGAATCAGTTATAATCAAATAAAAATGATGATAATAGTCCGTAAAATTGAATCCATGAAAAGTTTGATTTGAGATAACTTCCAATAGGTACAAACATTAACAATTTAATTCCTTATAATATTTTTATCAAAATCAATAATTAAAATAATTTCCAAAATCTTCTAGACCTTCTTAAGTTAATTTCCCCTAAAGTGACATTAGCAATATTAATTAAAATAGTTTGCCCATACCAATAGGTTTGCATGCGTGTGTATGTTAAGGCCATGCCATTTAATATTTTTTAATCTGTATTAAAGAACATTTCATGTTACACAAATTTTTCTTAAGAATGTAAAGTTAAACTCAACATTTATTAATAGAGTTTTCTTTATTTTTTTTTATTATTATTGTTTTTTTTTTGTCATGGTTAGGGTTGTAATCAAGTCGAGTTGAATTGAGTGTGTCATGGTTTGGACTTCGTTTGGTCAAATCATAAGTTGTTCATGTTCGGTTCGAGCTTGATGTACGAGTTTCAAAAATATATTTATACTTGGTTTGCTTAAAATTTTTAATGTTCATTCTTGATTTGTATTTGACTTGTTTATATTAATTAAAAAGTTAAACAATTAAAATGGGCACTTAATTTTGCACATTAAATAAAATATTTGATATGTATATAATTAATTTCTTCTTAAAAATTAGTAAACAAGTTTAAAATTTAAATGATTATTTTTTTTATATATAAAATAATTGACAAATGATCTCACGAATCTAAATAAAAAAAAATTGAATAAGTTTCATGCTTTTAAAAATATTTCAAATTTATTTATTTATTAATCTGAGCAAACATGTTCGAGTGTTAATCAAGTTAAGTTCAAGCTGTTCATCAAGTGCATTTGGTCATTTACAGTCCTAGTCGTCATGGTGTCAGGAAAGAAAATTCCTTAACATGGAAACAGATATTAAAAACCCTAAAATAATAGTAAATAAAATTAACCATCATAAGAGAATAAAAAGGAAACAGAAATTTATGTTATTCAATTGAAGCAAGCCTGATCTGTTCTATCATAAACATTGAATAATCTATTAAATTAAATATATATATATATATATAAATATTATATATGTATATATATAATATTTATTCTGCAAGTTAATATATATATATATATATATATATATGAAGGACTATATTTTGACATATATAATTTAAAAATTAGATAAATTTAGTATATATAATTTAAAAATTAGATAAATTTAGTATTTTACCTTGTGGAGAGAAAATTCTACTACTTTATGTGAAGATTTGGACTAGAGATGATCAAGAAGAATATACTCCTATTGCTTCAATTATTTTATCTCTTTCCTTACATTATAAGATTGAATGAGAAGTATCATTTATTGTGATCAAGTGATTTTTCACTCATGAGAACAGAAATATCAATATCATCACACTCATTATTGTTTTCTTACAAACTGTTCATGATGAAAGGTAGCAATATTGCAAGCCCAGTTGGCCCGCGTAAGGATGCAGCTGGCTCAAGGGATTGGCATTTCACGGCTTGCTTCTAGGAACACAATCCCAACCCTTGATGCAAATAATGCTTTCATCCATCTCTATTCAAACGGGCAACCTATGGCTCTCCAAAGCTATTTAGCCGAAGAAGCTCTCTCTTCTCTGTTTTTCTCAAAGAAAAGACCCGCAAATGAAGAATTTGGAGATTAAAGAGGATACCACAAAAAGATAGCTCTCTCATCATACCTGATCCAAAAGTTTTACCTCTTCCTCTGGCTGGATGCATCGCTTCAATGATAGTCCGTGATCCTCAAAGCTACCTCAGCTGAATTAGGGATTCTGTGAACAGAACACTTATATTATTATGTATAAAGAAGTATTATTACTTCATTACTCCTGACTCTTATTTACTATGTTGCCACTCCGCAATAGATATATAAAGGGGTGTTCACTTTGTAATAATATATAATAAATAGGACAAATAAACACAATTAAGGTTGTGCTACTTATATTTCTTCAACCTATTTCTGTGCCCCTCTTCTTCTTTTTTCTTTATTCTTCATATGATATCCGACCCTTCTTGCTCAACCGCTAGAATGAACTCCAAATTGTCTATCTCCGTAAATCTGCAACAACAAATGCTTCACAAGATAAAAGAAGTCAGCATACCAAATTCTCTCAAATTTTTGATGTCCCACATCAAAAGCTTGGCCACTACTCCCCTCACCCAAGAAAATTGCTTGGTATTGAAGGTATAGATTCTAAACTATTTTCTGCCAATGGCTATGAATAATTCCTAGACAACACCTTCTCAATTTCTCCACAATTCATTCAAGATAAAAATGGGCTCACGGTTGAAAAACAAAGAATACTCGCTCTGGCAACTTGTTAATCATACCCTTGCAGCCGTAATCTTATTAACTATTTCCTCATCCATTCTACCTCATATTCTTCATCTTAATCATACTTTTGAAATTTGGCAAAGCTTAGAATGCTAACCTTAGTATATCAATAGATCTCGGGTTATTCATTTGAAAATTGAACTAACCATGGGATCAAATTCCATGACTCAATACCTTATCCATATCAAGACCCTAGTAGATAATATTGCGACTGCATGCTCGAAAGTAGACAATAAAGTCATAATTTTATATATTTTGAATGGTCTACCACCCAACTATCAAGGTTTTAAAACAACAATTAGAACTTAACTTCATCCCCACAAACTAGAGCATTTCAATTCTCTGCCGCATAGTGAAGAATACAACCAGTTTCAAGAAAACAATATGATAACACAACAAACGAACAAAAACTCTTTCAAAAATTTCATCACCAACTGCAAATTCAACAACAGTAATCTTGCCAACAACAACAATCAATCAAAACGCAGAATCAGTACCACATGCCAAATTTACAATAGAAAATGTGATTTTGCATAGACATATTAGCATAGAACTAATCTCAAATACAAGGTCACACCCTCAACACAAGCTCTAAGTAGCTAGCTTCTAAACAATACCCAAGAATGGATCTTGGTTACTGGAGGAACTGCACAGTTGACACTGCACATAAAAAACTTGCAACAACCAACAACCTACACTGGGACAAACCAAGTAGTGGTTGGAAATGGGCAAACCACTGCAATATCACAAGTGGGAAATGGTATTCTCCTCACACCTGATAGTCAGTTAGTTCTCTAACCTTTATTTCGAGCACCTTATTTATTTCATAACCTCATTTCCATTCATAAGATTACTCATGACAATAACTATTAGGTTATTTTTTGTGCTAAAAATTTTTATATCGAAGATCTAGCAACCAAGAAGATTTTGCTTTTTGGAAAAGCTGATTAAGGGTTATACCCTCTTGCTGCACATCACAACAATAAAATCTCTAGTTTAAGGCATCGTATATTGAGACACCCACATAAAAAAAGTTCTTCACAACATAGCAAAATCACTTCCACATATTCATATTACTTCTATTTCTAATTTTTGTAATGATTGTGCCAAAAATAAAAGCCACAGACTTGTGATTTCTCACAACATTAGTAGATATAATGTGTTTGAAATGATTCATTCTGATAATTAGGGGTCATTCCTCCCCACATATATAAGAGGCTACAATTACTACATTACTTTAATATATATGTTTTCTTGCTTTTTGTGGTGTTTTCCCTTCAAAAATAAATCTGAAACAACTTAACAACTCTTTTACATACATAAAATGCTTCAAACCCATTTTCAAGTAAACATTATATTTCTAAGAATGGAGGGAGGGGAGGGGGGGGGGGGGGGGGGGGGTGTACCTCTCACATATAAAACACTTATTTAAAAAAAAAAAATAGAATTCAACATCAGTATAGTTGTGCTTACACGCCTAAACAAAAAGATAGAGTTGAAAGGAAAAATAGACACATTGTAGAAACTACACACACTTTACTAAATACTGTCAATTCTTTCATTTCATTTTTGGATGGATGCCATCCAAATAGCTAATCATCTTTTTAATAGACTCCCCTCTACCACCACCAACAACTTATCTCCCATTCAACTTATCTACAACTCATCACCTGAATACCATAACCTTTGTACATTTGGCTGTTTATGCTATCTGTGGTAACCACAGAAGGTTCACCATATATTTTCTTCAAAATCCTCACCATGTGTATTTTTGGGCTATAGCTCTTATCATAAAGGATACAAATTCTATGATATTCTGGATAACAAGTTTTTTTATTTCTCGACATGTCATCTTTAATGAACAAGTTTTTCCTTACCTACAAACCTCAACAATAACCTCCACCTCTTCTCCTCATATTCCAACTCACACCATTCGATCTCTTCTTATACCTACATCCACTCTACACAATACCTCTTCAGCCCACCTACCATTCCCTCTACTACTATTCCTTCCTCTCTCAATTCAACTCCCACACAATCTTCTTATGGCAACAACATTAATCCTTCCCCTCTCATAACTTCGTCTTCAGCTTCCTCCATTTCCTCTAATTCCTTAACACCTCAACACAAGTAGCATCACATGTTTACCTGACATCCAAAAGGCATCTTAAAGCCCAAACAAATCTTAGAACTCCAACACATCATTTTAAACCATGAGACCCCCACATCATACTCCTAAGTCGTTAAATCTTCCAATTTTCATAAAGCTATGTCTGAAAAATTCATGGCCTTGCAACAACAAGGTACATAGGAGCTTGTGCCTCCCATCCTGCATTAATATATTCTAAGGTGTAAATGAAAATATAGAATCAAGTATCATGTCGAGAGGTCTATAGCTCGCTACAAGGCCCATCTTATTACACAAGGTTTTAAGAAATAACAAGGAATAAACTATAATGAAACTTTTAGTCTGGCTGTAAAATTTTAGTCTAAAACAATATGGTTAAGAAGACTCCGACATGAACTCATCTCTCATACAAGTCCTCCTACCACTCTTCACAGTGACAGTACTTTGGCTATTTCCATAGCACACAGTCCTGTTTTCAATGCTCAACTAAGCTTATTGAAGTGAACTATCACTTCATTAGATACCACATTAGAATCAGGAGATTCACTTGCAACACTTATTAACTGCAAATCAGATACATACATCTTCACCAAACCTCTCTCGATTGCTCAGCATCTCAAACATCTCACCAAACTGACAATCTCTTTCTTAGATCAACTGTTTGAAGCGGGTAAGGAGGATACTACGATGATAGCTCTCTCATCTTACCTGATCTAGTCCTTAGGTTGGATGCCTCACCTCAATGATAGTCTGTGATCCTCGAAGCTGCCTGAGCTAAATTAGGGATTATGTGAATAGAGCTGTTGTATTATTATGTATAACGAAGTATTTTTACTTCATTACCTCTTGTTCTTATTTACTATGTTGCCACTTTGTAATGTATATATAAAGGTGTGTTTAGTCTGTAATAATATATAATAAATAGGATGATTAAGCACAATCAAGGTTGTGCTATTTATCTTTCTTCAAGCTATTTCTGTGTTGCTCTTCTCCTTTCTACTTTATTCTTCAAATTGCAGATGATGTCGGGGATGATGAAAGGTTGTAATTCTTCCATTGGTCAGATAAACCATCAATGGAGAAATTAGGATTTCAAATGAGATTAAGCTAAATATTTTAGAGGCAACAAATTCTATAATGTCCATACATGCAAAGTATTTAGGAGAAAATTTTAAATTAGATAAAACTTTTTCTAAAATTTAGAAGAGTAAGAGCTAGCTTGCCACATCATTTTGTATCTAACTTCATATCTTAAGCACTTGAGGCAAAAATGTATTTAAGAGACTTGTAAAAAGTTGAATGCGTTTTATAGTCATATGTTAAATTTGCATGAGAATATTTGCATTATTATAAGTTATCATTTCTAAGTTGTTTGGGTTGACAGCCTAGGTTCTGAACTATTTAATACTCATGGAGTTTGTTCAATTCAATTATTGTTGATGTTTATTTAATAGGAAATTTACATACATATCACACAATTCTTATGTATTTTCATATCTTACACATCTAAAATTTGATATTTATATTTGTAATACTTTTTATTACAAACCTATGTATTAAAATGTGTATTTCACTTTTTAAAAGTTAATTATAGTGATATTTTTTTATGTAATATCAAATATTTAAGTAGTTTATATGTTAACATGGAACTTTAGGCGTTAGATAAGTAAATATGTAAGAATTATGTGGCTTGAGTTGCTCTGTTAACTTTCACCTTCATGACAAGCTTGTATGTTGGTATTTTAATCATCGCATGTGATTTTGTTACTACTTTACACATAATATGAAAATAATTTATTTTATGTAAGATAGACAGACTTTTTATCAATAAGTTTCTAAAATCATGATCATGAAGTAAAATTGGAGGTGTTTGCATAATGCTGGTACAAATTAATCATATTGTTAGGTCGATCTGAGATATTTAAAATACTAAGCCTGCGACAGACAATGCATATACAACAAATGCCTCGGATCTTAATAAAATGAGTTTGATGAATTTCATACAAATAACTACTTGTAAATTGAGGTCAACAAATGACCTGCTTATATTTAGATATGATTAGAATGCAAAGCATGCCATAAAAATTGGTTAGCAAATGTTTATAATCTTAATTATGAGTTTGCATATGATAATTTAATTTAAGTATTATGTGCGCATTTGTAAATTGTGGTGGAGTAATGCCTTCCATCAACCATTTCATATGATTAGAAGTCAATTTCTTATGCTTTTCATGTAGTTTATGGGGTTAGGTTGTGTTTTTAACACGATGCTCTTAGTTAGAGAGAAAGATCTCGACCAATTCCTTCAATACTCTTGCACATTAGCTATAGAGTATGCATAATGAATGCCTTGGAACAACATATTTATTGCAAACTATAGGCTCAAAAAACTTCATTAATTTTGTTCGAATAGCGACTTACCAATTCCATCAATAATAAAATA